CATATATAGTGTAGTTATTCTGTAACATTACCAGAATATAATCCTAACATAGGATTAAAATTGTAAACATTATAAGGATAAAGTACAGTAACAGTATTAGATTGAGTTGTAATATTACAGTATAAAAGTCGTTACATTACAAGATTAAAGTCCTAACATTGTGCGATTAAAATGGTAAAATAATGATAATAATTCCATATTGAGAGATTAAAGAACCAACTTTTTTTGATGTAAACTCTTCCCCCTAAGTTAAAATGCTCAGGCTATAGTTGAGGTGTGCTTAGTTGATCATTTTATTGAAGCTTTTTTCTCGTTAAAACAACGTTTATGTTTGATATACTTATGACTTTACTCTTATATTATGACTTTATTTTCTTTGTATAAAGACTTTATCATTGTAATATTTTAACTTTATATCTGTACGGTAGGACTTTATTCTTGTGATTAAAAAAGTCTTATAATGGCTAACGACTCTATTTGGATGTAAATAATTGGGAACCTTGAGACTTCTTTGTTAATTTTCAAAGCTACCTTTTGTCTGCAGGGGCCAAAACATTGTTGCATCTTTAATTTTGTTGTTTTGGAGCAAAAAGTTAAGGGTGTTTTTAAAGCTAAAGAAAAAAATAATAGCCTAGAGCTTCATGGAGGAAATACATTTCCACATTTCTTTCCAACATGGTTCATTTGCATTTTAATGCTTTAAAGCAGTTATTTGTCTTTCATGTTTCGTTCCCAAGCATTCAGTCTACCCCTTTGAGTTCAAGAGTTTGTATTTTAAGTTACAGATATAAAGACTCTTGGATATAAGAAATAAATAAAATATTGTTTTTTTTTTTTTATTACAACACAGTTGGACTGCATAATATATGTGTGATTTGCCTTTGAAAAGTTGGTAAACCAAAGCTGTAGCTCCAATTAAACTTTTAATTAAAATAAATGCCACATTTACAATGATTTTGACATATTTTTGCTATTTTTTGAACCATTTACCGAGTTAGCTGAACAGCTGCTACCGAGCCCATGAGTTATTCCTGCCATCCCTGTCTGAGCTTTAACAAATTGCTGTCTTTAGTAAATGTGCAACAGAAAAGTAAAGTCAAGCCGTGCGGCACTGATGGATGGCTGCACCACAACGTCCATGTATCCAAATGCTGCTCCCTCTTAATGGGAATCCCCTAACAGCACTTTGTTTTCAGCTTGATTCAATCTCATCCAAACACATATTAGGTTTTCAATCTTGTTTGATTCCATCAGCGGCTCGGATTCGAAGCGATACTTTATAGCAGCAGCTTTGTTTAGTCTCTTGTTTTTTCGGGGGCCAAGTCCAGTCGGCTCGTCTTGACGAGGCTTCGGTAATAATGTCCACCGAGTTGGAGGGCAGCTCCTCATGTTGCCCTTTTCGGTTATTGAGTTTGTCTGCCGAATGCACAGAGCTGCTTAAAAGGCAGCTGGGAATAGAACAACAGTTTATTCTCTCAGACAGTTGGATCACAGGAGTAAAGTTTGTTTAGAAACTGCAAAATAGGTTGGAAAATTACTTTATTACCTTTAATAGATCAACGAAATACAATCTAAACAGGTCTAACAACAAATCTAAATTTGGTTACTATTATAGAGCGGCCATTTTCATTAAAAAAAAACTTAATTTTCTCTTCTATTAAGATATTTTTTCCATAACATGAGTTATGGAAGGGCTTAATATTATTTACCCTATGCTGCATCAAGAAAAAAAAGAGTATGTGATTATATTTTAACAATTTATTTTTCCAGCCTTGTTAATTACTGACCAAATAAACTAAAATATGTTTTTTAAACATTATTAAACATATTTATATAATATAGTTATCTTACCTATTTATAAGATTAAACAAAAGAGTACCTATAAGTTACTAATAAATAAATGAAATATATGGTTTCAATGGTATAAGACATGTAGAAAGGGTATGTTGCTCTGTTACGCTGTCAGACTATTAGCTATTTTGTTTCAATGAGCTGAAAGCTAACGGTTATCCAGCACTGATTGGTGCTTTTAACTTTTGAAGAGGTGGTTCTGGTTTCTGTCAGAAGAACGTTAAAACTCTGCTCCATGAAGTGCGTTAACTCACAAAAGTCTTTTCCATGATGCTAACTCTTAGCATGTCTTGTTCGATGATGTTTCAAACACAAAAAATAAGTTATGCTGCTCCGTCATGCAGCACTGCTAAATTGGTGCTATTTAGGCGCTAACTTAAGCAGTTTCTAGAATGTTTAAATTTACAGATAGGACCACATATGTACATTTTACCAAATACGGTGATTTTGGAGAGGTGTTTGTGAAGTATTTTTTGAAATATTTGGAGTAAAATAAGACCTGAGCTTTTTTTTTTTTTTTTTTTTTGGGGGGGGGGGGGGATCACCCCTGATGCCCTGGCATTAGGGGGAGTCAAGAACTCATTGTTTCTATATTTCTGGTAACACACTTGAGGAGGGATCCTGCCTGTCCACAGTGTCACAAAGGGTTTTATTTAATTTTAAATGAAAGAAGATTAGCTTTGATTTGATGGGCTCTGAAAAAAAAAACGTATTAAAGTTTAAAAGGTTTTTTATTACTTTTTTATTAACCATCAACAAAGGTACAAGAGTGATTCTTTGTTATTCCTACACATTTTGGCTGATTTTCTTTGGTAATGCTTTCTTTTACAATACATCAATAACTATCTAATGACTTGGTAATAACACAGCAAGTTACACTATATTACTAGGTAACAAGAAAACTATGGTGTACCAATTTTAGTCAGACAAGGTATAGTCAGACTTCTTAGACCTAATACAGTTATTTCCAGCTAACTCTTTAATTTACTGACAGCAAGACATTAACGTGTTTAGGTCACAAAACCTAGAAGACAGCAAGCCAATCTTCTCAACTGAACTCTTATTTATATGTAACTTGAGTTCAGTTTTATAACGCTTTAGTTACCTGATCATAAGTTACAATCTACTTTAGAAGCCATTGGTAGGTGGTGGCCAATGATAAAAACTGTTATGTGGTAACCTATTGGTAATTACCCACCAAAACTCTACATTGTTGCAAAATAACATACAATTGTAATAATTACATGTAGGTAAATACTTTGAAATGATATACCTTAATTTTGGGGTAGTTACTAAATAAGTTTTTCTTGTTACCAAGTAATATAGTTTGATTTGCTATGTAATTGAAATGTTATTACATTGTAATTGATGTACTGTACTCTAAAGAAAGCGTAACCATTTTTTGGGGGGGTTGACAGCATTTGTTTTTTTTATTTCAGTGGGTTGTTATATTTTTTTTTTTTTTTTTTTTTTTAGTTTTAGGAATTTTTATTGCAATTTTTGATAATGTAAAAATAGATTTGACCCTAGAACTGCATAAAATGCTTCCTGCATCCAATTTTGACCTTTGTTAACATTATTTTTTTCTGTATACCATTTTAAGTGAAAAAGCTTCACCTACAGCAAGTCCCTGATTTGATTGCTGTGTTGCGGCTTCACAGAAAATTTCACCTCGTGTCAGCGATCACCGCTCCTCTTATTCCATGTTGTGCTACTGTTTGGAAACACTTCAGTTCTGTCTAGTAGCACGAAGAGAGAGCGGAGCAGTGAACGCCCTCACCGCGTGTAGTTCATTGCTAGGTTTGCATACGGATACTTGGAAAGCACCTTAAGGAATGCACTACAGAATCTTGTAGCCACCGGTGCAGAGCTTGTTCCAAAGTCATCTGAGAAGAGTAGCTCTGTCTATTAAAGCAAATGTTATAAATGTACAAATTATTATAGTTTTACACATAAAACCCTCTGACTTTTCTGAAACATTTTTGTTTTCAATACATCAAGGAAATAGATGTTGAAAAATATCCTTTCTTTGCTTCATTGCTGAACCTCTGCTGCTATTTCTGCTTATATAACCGATAAGCAGTTAAAGCGTTTGCCCTCTTGGCTCTGTCAGATGTTTTTCATCAACCTGTGACACTCAGAGAAAAACAAAAACAAGCTGTACGAAGTGTGAGATGTGAACTCTGGATTCAGAGGTATTTCTGGCTTCTCTGTGTATAAAACAACAAACCTTATAGGCCTTCATGATGTCCACCGTGTCCACAGCAGTCTGCTCCAGGACGCCGCCCTGATTCTGCAGCAGGGACCGCACTGTCTCTTCCATCCTGCAAGCAGAACACGTGCAATCAGGGAAAGTCCAGTGAGGAAGATAAGGACAACGCTGCAACGCTTGCTTTAAATGCTGCAATCTTACACAGTACTTGCATAAAAAAAATTAGTGCAGGACAATGACTTAAGTTATTAAAAGTAGCACTCAGACCCCTTTTTATGTCACAAAACTGGAAAGCAAAGTCAGATATGTACAAAATTATAGTAACACTGTACTAGTCTTATTTTTGGCTTGTTTTCAAAGAAAAGGTGCATAATTACTAATTATAACTAGGGATGCACGATATAATCGGCCCCCTATCGGTATCGGCCTGTATCGGCCTTAAAACTGAATATCGGACATCGGCTACCCCACCGATATTTAACCCGATATTTGATCAGCTTCTGAGTTTCTAATGTCAAAAAAAAAAAATTTAAAAATACTACTTCTTCTTCTTCCTCAAAAACCTTTTTTTTTACAGACTTAAAAACTTCTAAAGACGAGGGAAAAAATATTGATACATTAAAATATCACAATATCTTCATATGCTGATATATTGCCATTTAAAAACACCATATCAATCTCTTTTACTAATGAAATATTGCTATATGCCATCGTTATGCTACGAAATCCCCCCAAAAT